GATAGATAGATAGATAGATAGATAGATAGATAGATAGATAGATAGATAGATAGATAGATAGATATGGGGAGTTTAGAGTCATGCTGAGCTCTTTGAAAAGAAATATCTTCTGTAAAAATTATATGCCCATAACATGTGGGAGGCTTAAAATGCTTTTTTTTTTAAACTAAGAAAGATCATAGTTATAAGGTAAATCATGTACAGCTGTATTCTCCAACTGACAGCATTACAGATTTTTTTTAGGGAAACTAACAACAATCTGTACTCCAGCTAGCATTCATTGTTTCTATGACCAGAGAAATACTACATTTCCCACATAAGAATTTGTGGCCAAAATAAAAATAAAAATGAATCCCTTCTGATGGTTCTTTCTTTGTTTCTCCCCCCAAGGTATAACATTTTCATCTGAAGCAATAAGGAAATAATAATAGTAAACTTACGTCCTGCAACAATACCCTTAATATTATTAAACAATAACATGTGCCTTTCTTAGATCATTGGTATGAACTTGATAGGTAGACAAAAGTGCCAAATCTAATCTAAACATCTGGTGATTGTGTGATCAACCATAATAATGTTTGTTGCACAGTAACCCAGACCAGATTTGGTATTTTTGTCCTTCCCAAGGATCTCAAATAGGCAGATGCTGTTTATTTTATTTATACGCTGCCTAACTTCCAACGACTCTTGGATAGTGAAAAATAAAAACATTAAAAAAGAAAAAGAAAGAAAACACTAGAGAAAAATAAATAGTAAAGATGGCAAGGAATTGTTTCCTAAAAACTAAGACTAAAAAAAATTAAACTAATAAATAAATAGGCAAACATAGGGGAAGAATTGTTTGTTAAATTTCCTTCACATTCTTCACTTAAAGAGATGTATGTTTTCAAGAACTGCAATTACCTTCTTTTAAATTTCTTACCCACTGATCCCTACTATGGGCAGTGGGGGCAAAAATATAAAGGGTGCTATTATCGTAGACAACCTGCAAGAAAGAAAAACAGAATATTACAATCGCACACAGTTTGCCTCTGCAGTTATTATGTTCCTCAGTTATTACAATTAATTATTCCTCAATAATTGCTAAATTAATACAGGATATAAGCAATGGACTGAATGGGGGCTTATACAAATGAAGCTATTTTTAGCTATTTTTTAAATATTGGTTTTCTTTAAACACACATTTTAAATGTTAGCTTCCTTGAGAGTTTGCAGGGTGGAAAGTTGGGTTTTACAACCAAAGTACAAATACGTAACTAAATAAACAATTATTACTATCTATGTATACTTCTTTTTGTTGCTTCTTGAAAGCTATCTTATGCAACATTTAAATAAAGCCAATATCTGCTTTCAATATTTGGAATCTAGGAAAAAAATCAACCATAGGCACCAATCCAGCTGAATGAATGCCAGTTACTTTCTTAGCTCTAGAAAAATAGCCATGGCTTGTTCAGTGCTTGCCAGAAGTCTATTTTTTATATCAGATTTGCATATTCCTACTTGTATATAGACTTTGTGCTTCCTCAAATCACAACTTCTGCCTCACCTTAGACTGGATCTGGAAGCAATGCAAGATCCAGTCTGGTTAGGAATTGGATGCAAGACTATATGAGGCTACCAATGATGTAGGCTAGGCTGAAAAGAGAACTTCAAAAAAGTTCTCCAAAGAAGGCAATTTGAAAAACAACTTCTGTTCAAATGAAAATTGCCTGGTTGAACTCAAAATAAGCTTTACTTTCATCTAAATGTACGCTGCTTCTTAGAGCTCACAACTTAAGAGTCAAAGCCACAGAGTGTTATCAACAGTCGTAACAGGAAGAGGAAAGTCTGAACACATTTTCAGACACTTTTGAGTGACCATCTGGAACTGCTCATGCAGTTTTAGTTCATGCCAATCAATAGCAAATAAAAGGAAGAAAGGGGGAGAGGAAAAATTGCATGGAAATAGAGAGAAAAAGCACAAGAAAGTAATCAAACCTGCCCACAGGTCATACCCACAGTGTCTGCTTTAGCGATTTTCCAAATAAAATCATTTATGTGCTCGCCAAAAGGAAATATACATTTGCTCTTCCAAGTGGTTAACTTGGCTAACAGCGGGAAATTTAGCTGTCATGTAAGCCTCTCAGACAGTAGTAAGATTCAATTTTGTTTACTACCGGTTCTGTGGGCGTGGCTTGGTGGGCGTGGCAGGGGAAGGATACTGTAAAATCTCCAATCAGAGGAGGTATTTGCCGGTTCTCCAAACTACTCAAAATCTCCACTACCGGTTCTCCAGAACTGGTCAGAACCTTCTGAATACCACCTGTGCTCTCACAGAGTGGATCAGGTTAAGGGTGGCAGTGTGTCTGCTTAGCTAGACAAATATTTCCATGTTGGTTGAAGTGCAGCAAACCAGATTTCACAGCTCACCTGAAATGGATATTTATTTTGACAAGGTATAACAATATCCTCATTCTTTACCGTCTCAACGCATTTGATTTTGGAAATGTCAACCGATCCTTTTCTGTACTTTTTCTGCAACAGGACAAAGATGGAACAGTTTTTCAAATGAGGGATTTCAAACGATTTGCAGAGTTAGAAAACCTGGCAAGTTGCAATCCTACACGGAGTAGGCCAGAAGAGGGCACAATTGTTCAAATAAAGCTGAAGTACCCCAAGGTCGTTGTTCTTTTCCTTGAAAATGGTCCCAGAGACTTAAGAGATTTAAATTTTACTACTTTTCTGATGCACAATTCAAGTATAGAAATGACCATCATTTTTTTAAAAGGGTTTCTTTTTTTTTTTTTTTTTTGAAGTAGGGCTACTTGTATTTATACCCAACAGAAATTTCAAGTGGCTTCATTTCCAGGGAGAAAAATGTTAGCTATTTTCTTCCAATCACCCTTTCTATGCCTAACACTGAGAGCTATTCTATTCTATTCTATTCTATTCTATTCTATTCTATTCTATTCT